AATATTGTGACTGCCCATTTCCAGACACAAAAATATCTCCAACGCCTTTGGGCAAGTATTTACCCAGCTGCAAGACACTGACTGAAAACACACTTAATCAGTGGAAACTTCTGAACTGGCCAAGTCAGTCTCCTGATTTGAACTGTATAGAGCTGCATTACACTTACTGAAGAAGAAACTAAAAAGTAAAAAAAAAACACAAATATGCAACAGCTGAAAGTGGCCGCAATTAAGGCTTAGCAAAGCTACACAAAGGTGTCGCGGCACGACTTCTCCACCAACCCCGCCAGTCAGGAGGCGATCTGGGAGTTTGTCTCCAATCGGGGTGCAATTTACTCACTGGGATCAGAGAAACTGATTTGATTACAGTTAACTAGTAAAGCAAAACCAACTTAGCAAGGATCCTAATGAAAAGGGCAGACATCCAAAGAAAACACTTCCACAAACACAGTAATCTTTTAACAACCACTTATGCTTAATTAGGCTGACTTACCTGTAACTAAATGCTTGCTTATCCCTGTTAACACCTGGACGCGTTTCATCATTTTACAATAATCTGACACTCATCCACTTGACTACATGATTCAGTCATGCAGCACTGAGCGCTGAGGCTGAAGAGGTTATCAGCTGGTTTTGGGACTGTAGGTCAAGTTCCACCACTTTATTTCAGGCACCCTGTGACGAAGAGTACAGGACCTACCTGTGTCTCCTCTGTCCAGGAGCACCAGAGATCCTGCAGTTCCTTCCAGTAAGCCACTCAAACACTCCAAGGTCTCAGCTGCTGCTAAATTAATCTCGTCCAACAGGATCCACTCGCCTTTTTTAACAGCTTGTGCCAAGGTACCCTAAAAGAAACAAAAACATCTAAATCCAAGATCCTTAGTTTTCTTTTTGTGTGATATTTTATTATCCAATATTTTAGGCTTCTGTGCAGTTATGTAATGATTAGACAGGATAATCAACATATTTTATATTCACTGATTAAATTCTCGACATAAATAACAAATAAGACACTGAAAAGCAAGAGCTTCTAAGAAGGATTTTTTGTTGAAACAATTGGTAAAAAATGCCTAGAGAGACTATACTATCATTAGTACATTTAATCATGAAGATTAAATTATTCCTATTCCATTTCAAAAGTTCCAGTCAACTTTAAAGTATTCTCTGGCCACAACAGAACATCATCGTGTGTTCAGGAGAAATTTCCTTCACAAGAAAAACAAAAAAGAAGAAAAAAAAATGTAGAAATGAAAATCACCTCCACAAAGGCGAAGACCAGAGCGGATTCGGACACTTTAATCTGTTGCTGGGCCTGGCTTAACCTCAGAGCAAGGGCCTCCCACTGTTCCTTCAGCAGCACCGCTAACAAAGAGCACACAGCCGCAGGTTAAACAGGCCGAGTGGCCCACGTGCACATGACCAGACACCCAGACACCCAGACACCCGACCCCATACTGAAGCAAAGACGCCTTTCACACACACAGGCATTTCAAACCACAACAAGATAGAATAATGGCTGCTCAGAGATGGTTTGCTCGCATTTTAAAGGATTTTTTAGTGTCCCACTCACACTTGCAAGTGAATCGTTTTTGTTTTTAGAAGTTAGACGCCACAAGAGCAAAGAATATGCGCTCTCAACCCAATTCCTATTTTCGGGATCAACCACTGGTAATCGAGAACTCCGTACAACATAAAATGGCAGGGGATAATGTAACTAAAAGAGCTGTATATGGTGTTTTTCTTACACACTCTGTAATGGTTCAGTATCTGTAAAATACATGAAAAGTCTGGAATAAGTAGGGGTCTTAAAACTCTGGGGTCAACAACACTGGGATCCAGTCCTGTGTCTAGTTTGCCTCTTTAAAAGTAAGAAGGCAATAACAAGAACAACAACCAAAATCATACAAATACACAACTCTTGAACATGTGACATCAGTGGTCTTAACAGAAGCATTTGGTGTTGCATTTCTGATTGTGTAACTGCCACACTTGATACATGACGCACAGTCCATTTATTAATTTAGAAGTGACAGGGCAGCAGCAAAAAAGTTTGAAAAAACAAAAGGGAAATAAAAGTCTTAGGTGTTAATTAAAACAAAACTTTGCCCCTACGGTCACTAAATGGACTGTTGCTTTTTGTTTAACAGATTTGCGACACTCCATTCCCCAGGAAACTTGCCACCAGCCTCTGGGGTTGTGAACGGAAAGGTCTTGATTTTATCTGTGCGATAATTACTTTTTGGAATAAAAAACACGTTCACATGGTATGAAAATGGCCTTGTGAAAACAAAGCTGAATATGAGGGAATGTGCAGCAAGGAGACGAAAAGGATCACTGCTCCATTTCCAAGGTCTCAAACCCGTTGCTTATCCCAGTGGAGCTCACGCCGATGGTGGGACACGTACCGTTTTCTTTCTTGCTCACTTCTTTGCTGATGGCTGACCTACAGACGTGATTCATGAGCTTGAGCAGGTCAGGCCAGCGCTTCGCCTTGAAGCAGGTATTGACGTGTCCCAGGAAGGTCAGGTTTTGCTTCCTGGAAAAGGTCTGGGAAAATAAGTCCTCAAAGGCCTCCCGCAGGGGCAGGAGAATCAGTTTATGGTCCACTGGCTTGTACCTGAGGACAAGAATGGGAGAACATTAACAATACAATGCCAATCACCTTACACGTTAACACAAATACAGCACCACAGTTTTTACTATTGCAGCATTACATTATTTGTGTATGGAAGCTGTAAACCTAAGGTACACTATGTACTTGAAAAAGGAGGGCAAAGGCAAGCAAACCTTGAATACCTAAGATACCTGCAGAGCCAAACAAATCTGTTTGGAAACAGGTAACTAGAGACCGGCCAGTACATAACCCCATCCCAATACAATTAATGACCTGTTGTAAACCATATAGCGATCAAACTTCCACATGAATGAATAATGGGACAGAAAATACACATCTTGTAAAAGCCTCTGTGATCACATTGACGTAGAGAACACTGTCACATTACAGGTTCAGCATAACAGGTAACATCCCTGGAAGCTCATCTGGAGTCGGGAGTCACTATTATCACCCTACAAGGAACCCCTGGCCTGCAGTGGCCCCCCAGAGCCCCCTGGAGCCCCCAGAGCCCCCTGGAGCCCAGCCCGCTGTAACCTGCTGAAAAGAGCAGCGCTTGGCCAGCCGTGTACTGCGGCCTGGAGATCACCAGCCACAGCCGAATACTGACTCAACTGACACAATGAGGGATGGATCCTGGACCGGTCCTCTCAGAAGCCCACATTTAGGGTCCTGATTTAAATGAAGACACAACCCAGCTAACAATACTTCAGAAAGGAATCCAATCCGAAATATTACTGGACTTGTATTTGGTGCTGTAAGAACTCATTTTCATGACTGGGAATACGACCTGCCTATTTGAAAACCATTTCAGATTTGAGGCTTGGGCTCCTGTTCTCATGATGGTGTTCAGTGATTACAGCATGAAAGGGCACAAGCTAAACTTTAACAGGCAGAATCGC